TATTGTATCACTGTACATGTGCTCTGCACTTCCTATGAGTCTTTCCTTTAATCGAATATCTACCCCAACACTACCCATAATTAGCCTAATGGGACATATACTGTTTCAAGTTGTTTATGAATACCACAAAATATTTTTATACTAATTGTTAACGGAAAGTCCCTTCCAAATGTGCAGAGTGGCTATACACCACCATCTTGGGGAAGATGCCTTATGCCTCACTCTGTGGTATTCATCCACAACCTCACGGCGCTGCACCGCTTGCGGTTACGTAACTAACGCAAACATTTCCGCATACAGGAGTACCTTGCACTTTCGTCTGGTTCGGGACCAGAGCGTGGACGAATGTAAAAAATGGACGAATGTCAAAGCAGAGCCTTTATTTAGCTTGCACATTTAATAACTAGAGTGAATGTAGAATGTACATGCAAATAACTACAGTCACTATTTAATACATGCGTGCGAAACCTAAATAATCAGAAATAAAAGAAAAATTTATGTAAGAATACATACGAAATATGTCAATGGGAGAGTGGTGGTAGGAGACTTGCTGCGGAGCATTGACATATTTCATTGCTTCCTTTTAGTACCTTTCACGCGACGGTCAATGGTAGAGTGTATAGCAGATCGTATAATAATAAAATGTATAAAAGTGTAATGTTTAATATAATGTATAAGGTAATATATAGTATCGTAATTGTATAGTGAATATACAGCAGTGTGGTATACAGTAGTGTGGGTAGAATAATACATAGTGTAATATTACAATGTATAGTCTAAGGTATAGGGTGGTGTATAGTAATACAGTATATAAATTAATGTTGGGTTTGTCTATGGCAGTATATAGTACGGGGTAGACCCGTGTGATGGTAGAGAAAAAAGTTTAGCTGGAGGCATATAATATTTTTGCGACATAGAATTGTAATGTATGACTTACTATTAGTAGCTCAGCTTATTGGAGGGTATATTTAGTATATTGATGATACCGATGTAGTTTATATTTAAGTTTTTTTATTACGTGGTGGTTTAGCTGCTGCAGCCCCTTGCTATTAAAATTCCTTCCCTCTATTACTGCTAACCTTACTCCCTCCCTTTGATGCTGCTAATCCTGCATACTGCATAATGCACGGGCATAATATGACTTTGAAACCCCCCCACCTCCTACGCATTCCACAAGTAGTGACTAATCCCATATCTGCATTTCCCATAAATATGCTAAATTCCTCTTGATATGCAAATTCCTTTGTCAAGGCACCCCTTCCCCCTCCAACCCAGCTTAAATATACGCTGCCAAGCCTGGTGGTGCCCATTCAGACGCTGTCTTTCCGACAGACCTGTTCTTCACCTGAGGACGGCTGCTTGCGTTGTGGCCAAAACGTCGTGAGAATTATTTTATTATGTTTTATTTTTAATATTTTATTATTTCCCTTCTACGTGACTTTACCGAAAGAACCAAGAAGATGAATTCCTGCAGTCACGAAAGCTTTAAATCGAAAAATAAAACATAGGCCATTAACCTTATGCTTGACAAAGTACGATCCGAGGGAAAAATTGCAATTGTTTCTGCCATGTCATGAATAGCAAGCACTCACTTGGAAAATGGCCAAACTCTTCATTCAAGATATCTCTAGATATTAAACAATAGAGTCCACTTGTAACTTCACCAGAAGAAATGCTATGGGTCACTTGATGCAAAAAGCTCATCTCTTGGTGATAGTTGAAATCAGTATGGGCCATCACTTTACATTTTAATGCCTTGATCGCCAAATTGCAAGATGTGAAAAAAATAACATGCCTTTTGGAGGTCTTACAATCCTTTAGGCCGGAAATTTAAAGCAAATCTTGCATGTGTTTTGTCATGGAGGGAGACCTCAAATAGTCGAAGCAATGTTGAATCAATCAGTGCTTTGGTTACATATAGTGTAACTGAGACTTCAAACCAACATGCGAATTGCCACAGCTGCAGAAAATTCTGATGAAGCCAAGTTCGCCAAATGTTTAATGGATGTTGGAAATGGAAAGGTAACTGTGGATATATTACTTGTCCATTTAAAAAGTCAAATTCCAAATAAATACCGACTTTCATCTGAAAACCTTTGCAATCTCTGTTATAATGGCTATGAAGACCTAAGGGATAACTTCAAGGAGGCCATATGGGGTGCAAACCATGCCATCAGTTCTCCTAGAAAGAGTGTTGTTGATTTGATCAATTCAATGATGATGAACCATTTTCCTGATGAAGAAAACAGTTTACAAAAGCTCAGATACAGTGGATAATGAAATAATCTATCCTTTTGAATTCATCAACCATTCTGCATATCTACCGCACTTGCTCAAACTGAACGTTTGCTTCCGCATTATGCTCCTTTGGAATTTAGACACTGCGACGGAACACGCAATATCATCTTGACAATGAACAATTGCATAATTAATCAAAGCCATTGTTGTAAGTGGACCCCACTTTAAGGAGAAGCTATTGTCCTTCATTCCTCTGGCTCCAGCTGAAAAGAGATTTCCATTCTCAATGACAAGATAATTTCCAATTCATCACGCTTTTCAAGTCACCGCCAACAAGAGCCAAAGATAAACACGGCAGAAAATTGGAATCTTCCTCCTTTAGTTACTGTCTTTTACAATTTACCATATACTTGCCTTATCTTAGCCTTCATAGGTTACAATTGAAGCCCAAAGGCACCTAAGCCCTCCTGCAGGACCTATGAGATGAGGGCCCGTAGGCCCCAACATCTTCTAATTATAAAATAACACGAGAAAATGTGGTTATAATCAACAAAGTAAATACAAATAAATATTAAAGTATTTAATAATTGTTTATGAACTTAAATTATGATGATGCTGCACAGTCTCTGTCACTTAATCTCATCACTTTCTTTCTCTCTCGCTCACTCGATGCAGTTTTGTAGCGTTCCAGATGTAATTCACAGATAGCCAAAATCGCAAGTTGGTGAATATCGAGGGAACACTATATATCTACTGGGTGTACTTCATGTGAGTGTGTAATGCATGCGTGTATATTTTCTGTAATTGGTGTGTATACCTGCTGGGTGTACTGAGTGTGAGTGTGCAATGTATGTGTATATTGTATGTATTTTGAACTTTCACACCATATGTAGCCAAACGTGCTAATCGGAGGTGCATATTGTATGTAATGTATGTTTGCTGGGTGGACTGCATGTGTGTGTTTAATGTTTGTATATTTGTTTGGTGGACTGCGTGTGTGTAATGTGTGTGTGTATATCTGCTGGGTATACTGCATTTCGGTTTTTAAAGCGTGCATATATTGTGTATAATGTGTATGTATATTACGTGTAATGTATATCTACAGAATCAGTGAGATGGAGCAAAGACCCAAGACGCCGCCCGGTGCTGGTGGAACACACCAATGTGACCAGTGTCCATATGGCATGGACCAGACTGGACACATGCATCTGCACCAGAAATCACACACAGCCAAGAAGCCCTTCAAATGCACTGTGTGTGGGAAGGCATTTGGAAAGTCAACACAACTTCAAATTCACTATAGAACACACTCAGGCGAGACACCCTTCAAGTGCACTGTGTGTGAGAAGGCATTTAGACAGTTGTCACATCTTCAAATGCACCAGAGAACACACACTGGTGAAAAGCCCTTCAAATGCATTGTGTGTGGTAAAGCTTTTAAACAGTCAGCATCTCTTAATGTTCATCAGAGAACACACACAGGCGAGAAGCCCTTCAAGTGCACCCTGTGTGGAAAGGCATTTGCTGAGTCAGGACATTTTTATAAGCATCAGAGAACACACTCAGGTGAGAAGCCCTTCGTGTGCACTGTGTGTGGGAAGGCATTTAGCCAGTCATCTTATCTTCGTAATCATCAGAGAACACACACAGGCGAGAAGCCCTTCAAGTGTGCTTTGTGTGGGAAGGCATTTGCACGGTCAGAAGCCCGAAAGAGGCATGAGAAGATCCACAAGGAAACGGAGGTGGAAACGAGAAGTGAAAATCAAAGTGCTGCATTGAGCCCATCTGGCATGGAACAAGAACCGGAAGACAACCGCAGCTTCGCAACGTGGCGAGCAGTGAAGGTGGAATGTGAAGAAGTGAAGGTGGAATGTGAAGATGTGAAGGTGGATTGTGAAGAAGTGAAGGTGAAATGTGAAGTAAAGGTGAAATGTGAAGGTGAAATGTGAAGATTTAGATTTGACTCCAGAACCCGACCTCCAGGTGGTTGGAGGCAGCGTGAACCAGGAGGAGCATTCGGACTGAGGGAGAGCGAGGCGACCCCCAGGAGTTTGTCGATATGGAGGTGTAGGTGGAGTTTTTGGGGGAGCGTTGTGTTGCGAGTAAAATGGATGCATACGAGTCAGTGGTGTACAGTGAAACATGCTCCAGAGCCACAAGCAGAAATTTGAGATTTGAAACCAGTCCTGGCCAAGACAAAGGCGTGGGGCACCCACTGTTAAGGCAGCTCAGTTGAGTATCACCAAGCAGGAGCAGCACCAGCAGCAGCACCTGCGAATCTGCAGCACCAGCTGCAGCAGCAGAAGCAGTGAACAAGGGAGGATTTCCCAGCGGAGAGGACAATGTATTCATGTACGACATAAATATTCTCAATTGAGCAATACCCTGCACCTTATATGGAATGTGGCTCTGCGCCTGCCTCATGTGGTGTGCAGCAGTCTGGTTCTGGACAGCATACTGAAAGAGCTGCCCTTAGACTGAGCAGCAGATGGGGATTTGTGAGTTGCAGGGACTTGAAGGCCATCCTGACTCTACCAGCCTGAACCTGTTGACCCTCTGAGGCCTGTCGAATGGCATCTCGCTACTGTGCAGCTGCGTGTAGCTGTGTGTGCAGAAGTGCAGTGGCTGAGTGCAGCAGGACGCAGCTGCGTGTGTGGTGTAGCAGTGTATGTATGTTGAACTTATTTCACACCGTTCGTAGCCACTCATGCTCATCGGAGGTGCTAGCAGTGTGCTATGCTGTGACAGGTGCACACTGTTGTTGTGCCAAGTGTTCACTGTGCTGGGTGCATGCGAGGACGGGCTTGTGTCGGGGCGAGGTGTGTGCGGGTTTTTATTATATTCCCTGTATTTGTTCTGGGGGTGTGGCATTGATTGCAACAACCGCACCTCCCTTAACTTGGTAAGAGCCAAAATAAATCGCTCAAACCCCTAAATCTGTCTCGGCCCTGGTTTGTGCTGCCTTGCCTCCCTTGTTTGATATTGAGAGCCTCGGTAACCTTGAAGATTGCACGTGAACGGTGCACGTGTGGTTTGGATAAAACAAAATGCTGCTTAATCCAGAAACATCGGAGGTTCTGCTGGTTGACACTTGGGGTCAGTGGAAAGCATGAGTGGGAGGATCAGGTGTGGCGGCCGTGGACTCGAGGATTCAGTTTTCTACTCTTCTCAAGAACCTCGGCACCATACTCAACTGCGTGTAAAATATTGTTAGGTCCTGCAATTTCAATATCGGGCTCTACGACATCGACCACTATTGAGTCACACCATAGTCAATACAGTTGCGTGTAGCATAGGATCGACAAGGCTTGATTATTGCCACTTACTACGAGACATCTGGAAGAAAAAAACCTTACCAACCTGCAGCGTGTACAAAATTCTCTGGCATGTGTCGTGAGGTACTGCAAGATCCGACCATGCCTGTCCAGTGCTCGCTGAGCTACAATTGGCATCTGCTTGCCGAACGAATACATTATAAGGCCGCACTCATTTTACGCAAAGTGCTTGCTACAAATAAACCACAATACTTAGATGATTGTGTCAAGAGCATAAACCAGGGGTGTCCAAACTTTTTGCAAAAAGGGCCAAATTTGATAAAGTGAAGATGCCCGGGGGCCAATAGTTCCTTCTGAAATTGTTTTAACCACGAAAGTTATGTGAAAATACACTGTTATAAAAAAAAATTCAGTCAATTACCTTTAGTTTTCAAATGACAATGTAACCAAATATAAGCCACTCAGGCAGACGTGAACAACTCTAAAAACACAATTCTGCCTTTCATTCAGTCAGATAACATTGAACAAACTGTATAGAATACCTTAAATTTCCATGAGTTAAATATCTTTGCCACATGAACATTTTAAACAGGAATTATAAGTAATGCAAAGTGGTCTGTTATCATTAAACTTTAAAACAAGTAAATTTTGCCTTTGTCTTTTACAAGATCTTTCAAAAAGCAATAGTTTGTGTCACATCTACAGGCACATAACATCAACAGTTATAACCAAATCTTATTCAAGAGTTTAATAAAAACAAATGCCATAAGTCCAAGTGCATTAGTGTATTTTCGGCTTTTCACTGTTAATAGTGACAGATGTTACCATTCAAAACACTCAATTTCAGATTGGTCAAGGAACAGATAACTTGCTGACACTAATGAGAAGGGTGATACTGAGATCTAGATTTCAGTAAAGAGACCAGGTCTGGCTTGAGGGCAGTGGTTGAGATGCGTAAAATGTCACGCAAGTGGGAGTCACTCATCCTTGACCTCAATCGGTTCTTGTTTAAGTTCATGACTGAGAATATTTGCTCACACAAATATGTGGAGCCGAATAAGCTCAGCATTTTCTTAGTGAATGACCGCATTTCTGGAAACCTGCTTTTGTCCAGCTGCCGGTAAACGTCAACAAGAGAACACTGCTGGTGTTTTCCGCGGCACTCATTGTCACACTGCAGCTGTGGAGGAGCATCATCAGGGTCCACGGAGAAGGGAGAAGAGAAAAGCAACATGTCCTTTTCAATAACTGCAAAGTCCCGAAAGCGTTTGTAAAATTCCACAGAAAGATGCAATAGCTGTTGCATAACTCTTCATTTGTGCACCGATGTTGTCCTGTGGGAAACTGTCAATGACCTCTTTCAAAGCTGGGAAGTGTGTGGTGCAGGGCTCTGTTTGGGACAAGTGTCTTTGGAAAAGTTGCAGTTTGGTTCCAAAGGCCTTGATGTGAGCATATAGCTGGCTCACCACTGCATCTTTTCCTTGAAGATTAACATTCAGCACATTCAGATGCTTCGTTATGTCAACCAAAAAAGCCAGATTTGCCAGCCATACGCGATCGGACAGTTCTTCCATTGGTTGTCCCTTCTCACTCAAAAAATGTCCAATTTCCTCTTTGAGAGAGAAAAATCGCTGCAGTGTGGACCCCCGACTTAGCCACCTCACATCGTTGTGATATATTACGTCACCGTATTCAGCCTGGATGTCACGCAAGAACTGCTGAAACTGTCGGTATAGAGCTTTAGAATAAATAGACTTGATTGCCTTTGCCACTGGTTTCATAACATCGTCAAATTTGAGATGTTTGGCGCAGAGAGCCTGCTGGTGAATGATACAGTGAAGTTTAATAGCGTTACCTGCTTCTTCGCTGACTTTATTGCAGATCAGTGTGGACAATCCACTTCGCTCACCAGCCACGGCAGGTGCACCATTGGTAATGATCCCAGAAACTTTACTCCATGGTAGTTTCATATCATCAACAGCTTCACAAACAAACGAATAAATCTGTTCCTCTGGTTTGCCCTTTAAGGCTTTTGAGGTCAAGCAGCTCCTCGGTCACGTTCATGTTGTCATCAACTCCTCTTAAAAAAATAGGTAGTTGTGCAGTGTCAGATGCATCGGTGCTTTCATCGCAGGCTAATGAGAAATAATCAAAAGCCACTCCCCTGTCCCCCCAGTTGTCTCTGAATATCTGACGATATGTCCTCAACTCTCCGTGCCACAGTGTTGCATGCCAGGCAAACATGAATAAATTCTTGTTTCTTCTCGGGGCAATTGTTCTCCACCATTTTCATGACACAGTCTTTGATAAACGCACCTTCAGTAAAATGTTTGCCATGTTTAGCTATTAACATGGCCACTTCGTAGCTAGCTTTGGTGATGTTTTCCTTTGACTCACAGGCCCGCGTGAAGAATCGCTGTTGCGATGCCAGAGCAGCTTGGAGTTGCTTCACTTTTTCAGCATGGTCACTCCCTGTTAGCTTGTCGTATGTTGTAGCATGTTTAGTCTCGTAGTGTCTCTTTACGTTGAAATCCTTAAACAAGGCAACCGTCTCTTTACAAGTTAGACAAACACAATTGCCTCGATTTTCAGTGAAGAAGTATTGTAATTCCCACCGCTCCTGAAAGCGGCGGCCCTCACTGTCAACTTTTCTCTTTTTTTTGCAGTCACCATGGCAGAAATGATGCTAGAAGGGTTCGTGGCACGGATGCAGAGCCAGAGAGCATTAGAATAATGCTGCCACCGTGTGGTGAAAGAAGGAATTACATCTTTAAAATGGTATGATTTATTTATTCTGACAGAGCTAGCGAGCCATAAATAACACATTATAAGACCGAAACTGCGGGCCATATGAAATCTGACCACGGGCTGTGATTGGCCCACGGGCCGGACTTTGGACATGCCTGGCATAAACCATCACACGGACTCCGGTCATTCTTGCAGATAATTTTGCCTGGCCATCGAACAGACGGTCACTGCATCGCACACTTTCAGATATGCTTCTGCGACCACTCTTCTGATATTTGGAAGCCACTGGAGCTATGCACTTTTAAATCTAGATTGAATACTCATTTCTTTATAACTGCTTTGTGTTTAGTGTGTCCTTCCCCGCACCTCTGATCAGCACAGTTGGTTATATACGTTTAACACGTAGGCTTTCGTGAGCAATATCCATAATAGAGGTTTTTTTTTGGGTTAGATCGTGTAAATATATAAATGCGTCGTTAAAACCCACCATCACCCAACACAGCCAACCAGTAAGGGTTGTCACGTAAACAGAACGTGCCAGTTCGTCACTAGTACAGCACACCAGTGTGTTGGAGAGGCAAGCCACAACATTTACAATCTGAGTACGACGTTTTGCCAGAAATTATGACGAGCTTCATCAGGCGACAGCCAGATTTGTGGAGAAGTCTAACTGTTTCGTTCCTTATATAGAGGCGTAAATGTGGTGACCACACATTTATGCTATTCTTCACCTTGGTGGGCTCCTTAGTACCATTGATGCCAAATTAGGTACTGACCGTCAGAGTGGTGTAGTGATTTGTGCACTGCGCTATAAATCTGGAAACCTGAGTTCGATTCCCGCTCATGGCCTGCACCAGTGGCGATTATGTCAACCGGTTCTGGGCTGCCCCTAGGTCGATTCAGCCTCAAATTAGTGTACCTGGTGCGATGTCACACATCGCTACTCGGGAGATATAGGCGGTCAAGCATGGCGCTGGCTACCCACCCATCGTGTCCATGCAGGCCTTCATCGGTGGCTCACTAATAGAACTTGACTCAACATGTTAAGTCTGGGAATTCTTGGACAACGCAGAGTAGGAGGGCCCCTGCACGTGTGAAGTGGAGTCTGAGAAGATCTGTAACCAGGAGCGTGACACAGAGTCTCCATTGCGGTCACCTTACAGGCTTTTTTCGCTACAATAATGCATGCACAGCTGGAGGCGTCATCCAGCCAGAGATGAACTTTCAGTAAATTGCTGATTTCCAAAGTCGTAGGGATGCCTTTTTGCGAATGTGTTACTCCAGTTTTCTGATGATGTATTTAGTGATTGTGAGTCTCCGCGCTAACTGCTGTTTTATTTTTACGTTTAAAGCATATTAATTATTATATTAAGTTTCGTGTACCTTAATTTTTTTAAATTGCATTTTTGTTTAAATCCCCTCCCATGGTCGTTATTTTCACGAGCAACAGCTCGAATTGCGGTGATCGTTGATGAGCCGCTCGGGACTTTCACGCGGATGTCTCCACGCGGGCTGCCGGTGCCGGGCTTACCGCGACGGTGCTGATGAACAATCGCAACATCCGCTAGGGGCAGCCTCACGCTTGATCACATCCGGTCAGTCATCTGCCCAGGTTTTGGCTACGGCCAATGTCACTTCACCGTCTTTGTTGACTATGAAGCATGCGGTGCTCCTGTTTTTCTGCTGCCGTTCTTGTTGTAGCTGTTCTTGTTCCTTCTTGATTTGAAGCTTTCGTGACTGTAGGAATCCATACTCTTTGGTTCTTTCGGTAAAGTCACGTAGGTATAAAATGAAATAAATCAGGACGTTCCAGGCGCAACACAAGCGTCCATCATCAGGTGGGAAAGCACGTGGTCTGCTGCTGAGGCAGACGGACCATGCTCTTTGTTCTTGTGCCTGTTGCGGTTCTTGCTTCTATTATTGCTGTTGCTGCTGTTATTGCTACTGTTGTTGGTGCTGCTGTTGTTGCCGTTTCACATGGCAAGCGCAGGCTGCGTGTTGCAGCAATATGGGAAGCCCACGACAAAAAAGCATTCGGTTTTAGCTTCTCTGTGTGTTGTGAAGCAGGAGCAGGCTACGTAGGTCGACAGAGAGAGGCCACAGAGGCAACTCGTCTTTGAATTTAAAACACTTAATTAAAGTAAAATGGTTAAGACGTTTGAGTAGGAATTAGTAAACTAAAAATAAAGAAAAAGGATGAACATGAATACAGTAGTCTCATCTCTTCTCCAGCCTGTGTGGTGCCCATTTAGCCCCCTCTATCTGATCAAACACAAGCTGTTCAGGCATGCTTGCTGGACATGCGGGCTACGTGAACCAGCCAACGCAGCCTTGTCTGCCGGAGGAGCTCACCGATGGGACTTTGTCCAGATATTTCAAGGATTTGTGAGCTCCTCACACATTCCAACCTGCAGGTTAAACCCAGGATGGATCGTAGGCTGGCGAGTCTGAATGTTTCGAGCCGGCATAGATGTTCCATTAGCGGGGTCCAAATTTTGCAAGGGTAGAAAATGGACGGGAGATGACTGGTCGAGAAAACCCGGGAGCTTCGTGTGGAGCGAAAGACCAGGGACCTTCCACATGACAGTGTTAAGCAGCTGATGAAAATATCATGCAGCCCGACATCACGACGTGAAACACCTGTGATCAGAGACGCACGGAGTGGACTCCCTGACTCCACTTCCTGGTTCACCCCGCACCCTCAACTCCCCCCCGCACCCTCCACTCCCCCCCCGCACCCTCCACTCCCCCCCGCACCCTCCACTCCCCCCCGCACACTCCACTCCCCCCCCCGCACCCTCAACTCCCCCCCGCACCCCCCGCACCCTCCACTCCCCCCCCGCACCCTCCACTCCCCCCCGCACCCTCCACTCCCCCCCGCACCCTCCACTCCCCCCCGCACACTCCACTCCCCCCCCCGCACCCTCAACTCCCCCCCGCACCCCCCGCACCCTCCACTCCCCCCCCGCACCCTCCACTCCCCCCCCGCACCCTCCACTCCCCCCCCGCACCCTCCACTCCCCCCCGCACCCTCCACTCCCCCCCGCACCCTCAACTCCCCCCCGCACCCTCCACTCCCCCCCCGCACCCTCCACTCCCCCCCGCACCCTCCACTCCCCCCCGCACACTCCACTCCCCCCCCCGAACCCTCAACTCCCCCCCGCACCCTCCACTCCCCCCCCGCACCCTCCACTCCCCCCCGCACCCTCCACTCCCCCCCGCACCCTCTACTCCCCCCCGCACACTCCACTCCCCCCCCCGCACCCTCAACTCCCCCCCGCACCCCCCGCACCCTCCACTCCCCCCCGCACCCTCCCCCCCCCGCACCCTCCCCGCACCCTCCACACCCCCCCGCACCCTCCACGCACCCTCCACACCCCCCCCGCACCCTCCACCCCCCCCCGCACCCTCCACTCCCCCCCCGCACCCTCCACACCCCCCCGCACCCTCCACTCCCCCGCACCCTCCACTCCCCCCCCGCACCCTCCACCCTCCCCCCCCCGCACCCTCCCCCCCCGCCCGCACCCTCCACCCCCCCCCCGCACCCTCCCCCCCCGCCCGCACCCTCCACTCCCCCCCCGCACCCTCCACACCCCCCCGCACCCTCCACTCCCCCGCACCCTCCACTCCCCCCCCCGCACCCTCCCCCCCCCGCACCCTCCCCCCCCCCGCCCGCACCCTCCACCCCCCCCGCACCCTCCACCCCCCCCGCACCCTCCACTCCCCCCCCGCACCCCCCGCACCCTCCACCCCCCCGCACCCTCCACTCCCCCCCCCCGCACCCTCCACCCCCCGCACCCTCCCCCCCCGCACCCTCCACCCCCCCCCGCACCCTCCACTCCCCCCCCCCCGCACCCTCCCCCCCCGCACCCTCCCCCCCCCCCCGCACCCTCCACTCCCCCCCCCGCACCCTCCACCCCCCCCCGCACCCTCCACCCCCCCCCCCGCACCCTCCACCCCCCCCCGCACCCTCCACCCCCCCCCGCACCCAATTCCCACCCCCACCACTCTTCCCACTCGCCCCCCCCCTCACTCCCCCCACCCGCTCCCCACTCCCCCCACCCCCTCCCACTACCCCCCCCCCTCACTCTCCACTCCCCCTGCTCCCACTACCCCCGCTTCCCCCCACCCCTCTGAGCGCGTCTCTCGCCGATGACGTCACACGACGACCCCTGAACCAGGAAGTGAAGAGTCGGGCAGTCGACTCCGTGCGTCTCTGACCCGAGGTGCGGCGTTTACATCGCGGTGGTGGTGGTGGTTGTTGTGGTGGTGGTGGTTGTTGTGGTGGTTGTTGTGGTGGTTGTTGTGGTGGTGGTGGTTGTTGTGGTGGTGGTTGTTGTGGTGGTTGTTGTGGTGGTGGTGGTTGTTGTGGTGGTGGTGGTTGTTGTGGTGGTTGTTGTGGTGGTGGTGGTTGTTGTGGTGGTTGTTGTTGTGGTGGTGGTTGTTGTTGTGGTGGTGGTTGTTGTTGTGGTGGTTGTTGTGGTGGTGGTTGTTGTGGTGGCGGTTGTTGTGGTGGCGGTTGTTGTGGTGGTTGTTGTTGTGGTGGTTGTTGTTGTGGTGGTGGTTGTTGTGGTGGTGGTTGTTGTGGTGGTGGTTGTTGTGGTGGTGGTTGTTGTGGTGGCGGTGGTTGTTGTGGTGGTGGTTGTGGTGGTTGTTGTGGTGGTGGTTGTTGTGGTGGTGGTGGTTGTTGTGGTGGTGGTGGTTGTTGTGGTGGTAGTGTACTGTGTGAGTGTATTTTGTGTGTAATTTGTCATTTGAGGGTTCGCTCCCTGTAGGTCAACCACGTTATGTTTGCTGATGATCTGGTGATTGCTGCTCACTCAGAGGAGGAGTTAGAGGTGCCGCTGCTTGACCTGGAGCATGCTACTAAGAGGTGGGGCCTTTCCATCAGCCCCTCCAAACTAAGCACCCCCTCAACTACCCATTGGTGATGGGGCAGTTGTGGAGAGATTGGAGAGGTTTCCATACATGAGTAGTGTGCTAATGACCAGCTCTGGTTTGACAGCAGAGGTTTCACTGAATCAGTCAAGCAGCATTATGTTTTCATCGGCTGTGTAATGCTGCTGTCTGGAAGCTACCTGGTCTTTTGCTCCACACAAAGCTTCAGGTGTTCTCAGCCAGGGTCATGCCCTCCCTTTTCTATGCTTGCGAAACATGGACCCCCCCCCCCCGCACCTAATATAACATCTCCATCGGTTATAAACATTTAAGCTGGCCTGCCTATAATCCATCCTGGGTTTAACCAGCAGGCTGGATTGTGTGAGAAGCTAAAAAATCCTTTAAAGATCTGGACAAAGTCCCATCAGTGAGCTCATCCGGCAGGCAAGACTGCTTTTGCTTGTCATGTAGCTCGCATGCCCAGTAACCGCATGTCAAAGCAGCTTTTGTTTGGTTGGATAGACCAGGCTAAACGGGCACGACACAGGCTGGAGAAGAGATGGACTGATACGGTAAAGGATGGTGTGTATCTGAGTGGACTTTCCGAAGACTGGCACCAGCGGTATCAAGATCGGCCTTCATGGAGGAGGCTTGTGAAGTATGGTACAGTCAGTTGTAGTAAGTCGCCCTCCAACAACAACGGAGGTCATAGGAGCAATGATCACATAAACGAGTGGAGCGTCGGGCGGCTAAAATGCAGCAAGTTGGCACAGTAGTTGGCCCAGTAGGGGGCACAGCTGATGCATCTGCCAGGCACCTGGGCCTGTCTCGTGGCCTGTCAGCGAGCTTTTGACACTGTGGCCTCAAAGTTCACCTGGCCTGGCACAGGCGCCGTTGTGATGTCACCACCACTTAGTGGCGAATGGCAGTTGTTGTTTTTATTGGTGCATTGTGTGTACTGATTTGGATTCTGTATATTGTGTGCATTGTGTATGTATATTTCCTGGATGTACTGCGTGAGTGTGTAATGTGTGTATATTGTGTGCAATGTTTATGTATATCTCGTGGGTGTACTGCATGTGAGTATGTATATCTGCTGGGTGTACTACTTATAAGTGTATAATGTCTGTATATTGTGTGCAAAGTAATGTAATTAGTCATTTAAGAATCGTAAAATAATGCTTATAGCATCTCTAATGCACGTCATTCTCTGGTCACACTGTTCATTAAATTAATTTTAAGTTCTCCCTTGAAGTGGTTGAACTCAAGGCTTATGTTCTTGAGTTTGTCGGATTGATAATTACATACAAAGCGCGGTCGCCATGCATCTTTAGGCAGGGTTCGTATAACGGGATCATTACAAGCAGCAGATCTCAGGTGTTATCATTTCCGATCATTGGCGATAGTCGTGCATAACTCTGACAAATAACGGGGTGCCATGCCATGTAGGCACTTGTATACAAGTGCCTACATGGCGTGGCTATGGGAGGTGCCCAACCAGATCACATTTTTTTATGCATTCAGCTTCAGTCCATTGGATGCCATCCAGCAACTGACAATGATAACACAGATTTTTAAAGAGAAATGGATGATGCTGCTATGGCATCGGGCTCATAATGGCCGTAAAGCTGAGTATAATCTGCAAATGTGTGTAGATTAACCGCAAGTTAGTTTACCAATTCCAATAACTCAGAGATATAGATGATGAAAAGTATAGGGCCTACAGCAGACCCTTGTGGCACTTAACAAGTGACATGCACCTCCGATTAGCACAGTTGGCTACGTACGGTGCAAAAGAAGTTCAGCATACATACATGAACAGTTGATGATAAATGGCCATTGTGATACACTTTAAGTTCTGCCCATTAAGTATGAAACAAACAATGAAAGTGCAGTAACACAAATACCGAATCTTTGCTCAAGATGCTTCAGCAGTATCTATATATATATAAAATCGCGAATCTGTCTGTCTGTCTGTGTGTGTGTGTCACCGGACCATACGCACTTTTATTGGACGCCGGTTGCCCCTGGCAACGGGTAGCGACGCCTTCGCCGCTTTCATTGGACGGCGGTTGCCCCTGGCAACGGGTAGCGACGGGCCGCGGGGTGGACGCCATTTTTAATTCCCGTTAAAAATAGGCGCACGCATTAACACGCGACTCTGAGGTAAATTCATCTAAGTTTCACGTCCTCTTCACTCCCCCCCCCACCACAATGTGTGCTATTACTATTACAGGGTCGGTCGATTATTAAATTATAGCGATTACACAGTATTATTGTAGCGCGGGGGGGGGGGGGGGGGGACCGGCACCCGTACCCAGCGTCAGCCGGGTGGGAAAATCAGGCGAGGCGGGAGGCTCTGCACGGTGCTAGGCCTCGACACCCACCACGCCACTCTGAGGTAAATTCATACAAATTTCACGTCCTCTACAGAGTGGTGAGGGAGGCAGAGTGGCGAGGGAGGGAGAGTGGCGAGGGAGGGACTCAGCCTCAAAACGAGTAACTGGTGTGGCGTATTAACATCGCCACTGGGGAGACAAAGGCGGCCGGGCGTGGTGGATCCAAGTCCCGGGCAAAGCCGGGTCATGTCTATGTGTGTATGTGTTTATGTGTATGTCTGTGTGTCTGTATGTATGTGTGTATGTATGTGTGTGTATGTGTTTGTGTGTATGTATGTGTGTGTATGTATGTGGGTTTTTTGGTATGTGTTTATGTGTATGTCTGTGTGTCTGTATGTATGTGTGTATGTGTTTGTGTGTATGTATGTGTGTGTGTATGTATGTGTGTATGTGTTTCTGTGTATGTATGTGTGTGTATGTGTTTCTGTGTATGTATGTGTGTGTATGTATGTGTGTTATGTGTGTGTGTGTCTGCATGTATGTGTGTGTGTATTGTGTATGTGTTTGTATGTATGTGTGTGTTTGTGTGTATGTGTATGTGTGTGTATGTGTTTGTGTATGTGTGTGTATGTATGTGTGTGTATGTGTTTGTATGTGTTTGTGTGTTTACGCTCGCATTACACAAATGTGTTGCAGGTCTAAGGCGTTCCTCGCGCAGCATTGCCGCTTTATTATTTCAGTCGTTTACTGCCGTTAGCACCCTGAAAGTCGTGTGTGTCTGCAGCAAGCGCGTGTATGTGTACCTATGGACGCGCGCGCGTGTGTTGTGTAGGGGGAACGGTAGTGTAGTGCTTAGCGTGCTGTCTGTGTCTGTGTGTGTGTGTCTGTGTGTGTGTGTCTGTGTGTGTGTCTGTGTGTGTGCGTGTGTGGTGTGTGGGGAGCGGTAGTGTAGTGCTTAGCGTGCTGTCTGTGTGTCTGTGTGTGTGTGTGTCTGTCTGTGTCTGTCTGTGTGTGTCTGCGTGTGTCTGTGTGTGTGTCTGTGTGTGTGTGTGCGTGTGTGGTGTGTGAGGAGCGGTGGGTGTAGTGGTTAACGCTACGCTGCGCTACCAACCCGGCGAACCGAGTTCGATTCCCGCTCACGGCCACCACCGGTGACGATTATTTTAACCTCCCCTAGGTCGACTCAGCCTCAAACGAGTAACTGGTGTGGCGTATTAACATCGCCACTGGGGAGACAAAGGCGGCCGGGCGGGGTGGATCCAAGTCCCGGGCGAAGCCGGGTCATGTGTATGTGTGTATGTGTTTATGTGTGTCTGTGTGTCTGTATGTATGTGTGTATGTATGTGTGTGTATGTGTTTCTGTGTATGTATGTGTGTGTATGTATGTGTGTTATGTGTGTGTCTGTGTGTCTGCATGTATGTGTGTGTGTATTGTGTATGTGTTTGTGTGTATGTATGTGTGTGTTTGTGTGTATGTATGTGTATGTCTCTGTGTATGTATGTGTGTGTATGTGTGTGTATGTGTTTGTGTGTATGTGTGTGTATGTATGTGTGTGTATGTGTTTGTATGTGTTTGTGTGTTTACGCTCGCATTACACAAATGTGTTGCAGGTCTAAGGCGTTCCTCGCGCAGCATTGCCGCTTTATTATTTCAGTCGTTTACTGCCGTTAGCACCCTGAAAGTCGTGTGTGTCTGCAGCAAGCGCGTGTATGTGTACCTATGGACGCGCGCGCGTGTGTTGTGTAGGGGGAACGGTAGTGTAGTGCTTAGCGTGCTGTCTGTGTCTGTGTGTGTGTGTCTGTGTCTGTGTGTGTCTGTGTGTGTGCGTGTGTGTGTGCGTGTGTGGTGTGTGGGGAGCGGTAGTGTAGTGCTTAGCGTGCTGTCTGTGTGTCTGTGTGTGTGTGTGTCTGTCTGTGTCTGTCTGTGTGTGTCTGCGTGTGTCTATGTGTGTGTGTCTGTGTGTGTGTCTGTGCGTGTGTCGTGTGTGAGGAGCGGTGGATGTAGTGGTTAACGCTACGCTGCGCTACCAACCCGGTGAACCGAGTTCGATTCCCGCTCATGGCCACCACCGGTCAAGATTATTTGAACCTCCCCTAGGTCGACTCAGCCTCAAACGAGTAACTGGTGTGGCGTATTAACATCGCCACTGGGGAGACAAAGGCGGCCGGCCGTGGTGGATACAAGTCCCGGGCGAAGCCGGGTAGTACAGCTAGTAACAATATATACACGTTACACACACACTGGGTGTAATGCTTGTGAGTGTGTAATGTGTGTATTTACATACTAGCAGGAACCCGCGGAACTTCGGCGAGGATTTGGGTAGTCCCCGATTTACGAAGGGGGTCTGTCCCGAAGACATACACACATACACTGACATTCATATGTGCACACAAAAATAAAGATCCCCCATATAGTCTGAACAGACTGTTTGGGCAAGTGCTGTTAGCAAGCAGCACATCTGAAGGCCAAAACGGCTCACGAGGGGGTGAGTGGCCAGCACCACTCCAGCCTGCCTTTCTCTCCCCAGTGGTGTTGTTTACACACTGCAACAGATAGGCATTTGAGGTGAAGTAGACCTAGGTGCTGGGGATAATCGTCACAACTGTTAAGGCACACAAAAGACAGGTCCCCCATATAGCCTTAACAGAGGGTTGG